TGCACTGATACAGGCAAGCAAGTTATTTAAGTTGGAGGCATAGATAGAGGTAACTAGAGCGAGAGAGAGAGAGGTAGATAGATACAGGGATAGAGATACATATCCAATGACGATATAGAGAAAAGATCTTTTTATCCAGAAAAGATGAAAAATTTGCACAGTTAAACTCTACTGTAGATTACCTCATGGATAGCCGTAAAAAAACTCTGAGTGTAACAGGTTCCAAGAGCCACTTCATTTCACACCTACCAGGAATATTTTAGGTAGGTGCAATTCCCACTGGAATTGCAAGGAAGTCTAGGAATTTGCAGGATCTTTCAAATCTGTTCTAATCCGTGCCTGGGCAGTTGTTTCAGGGGTGGGATTAGGTGGTGTGTTCAGCTCCAGATGTCCAGACAGAGAGATACGTCTTGTCTAAGAACTACTGGGGATAATGAATTTGGGAATAAATGTGAAGATGTAAGTTACGGGGTTGCAATAATATCTTCTATAATGTTTAGTGCAAACCTTCCTGGTAACGTTGGCAAGCTTTAATAAGTACAGATAGTGACACCATTTGCTATGTAACAATGCTAAAAAAAAGAAGCAGTTACTCTTTAACAAGCATACAAGGAGTCTTCTTAATGCAGTTAAACCAGCGTGATCCAGAAGGTCTCTGCTTTCTTTTCCACTTTCATGTAGAGTTGACTAAACCTTTTGTAGCAAAGGAGCAAAAGTGAAGCCTATAAAGGTTTTTTGAAAGTTGTATGCTGTTCAAATCAGATTATCCTGGAATAAGCATCCTTTGCTATTCAGGTCTTTCTGTGAATCCCCAGGCTGCAAACTCTGAATATATGTTCTGATACTTAGTAAACCATGAAAAAGCACATAAGTCCCCGCTGAAAGGACAACTCTTCTCTCCATCTGTATCAGCACTGACTGGCAGCATTGGCTCCTGCGTCTCCTCGCCCAGTTCTGCATCCTCAAGGGTGTCATGGGTCAATAAACCAGGAGAGGGCACCTCTTGCCAAACGTCCACTGCTTTATTCTCGGGTTGTATAAGATCATAAAACATCATTACTAACTGAAAGCATTACAGTTTCCACTGGCAAGCAAACGAACCCTTTATTTACATCACAGGCCGATTTTAAAAGCAAAAATAGTTTAATCATGAAATCCTTAAATCTCCTGCTAGACCAGGCCAAATGCTATAAACCATAAAAGCTAAAAATGGTTGAGAATAACAGAGGCTTTTCTTTTCTGTAGAACTGATCATTATAAGGTGAATTCTTTTTCTGACATCCTTGCTTCTAGCAATTCAGAAGAAGACTCGGAAAATTAACAAGAAAACAGTACCCCATCTGCTCATCGTAGAACAGCAGCAGCTTTTCACTTTGAGAAACTCTACCAGTCTCTTGCTAACAGCTATCAAATTGAATTCATCTTTTGCTAAAACCCAGTGCAGTCACTGTCTGTCCCCAGGGCCCATTCAGACTGTTCAATAACGCTGCCTGTTCGTTGACCGTCCTGCTGTCTGCACTCCTCCGTTTCTTCTACATCTTCAAATTTCCTCTCTGTTACCCTAAATTGGCTGAAGATATGCAGCATTTCCTGCACCGCAGTTTCGAACATATTTGGAAAACCGATTATCACGTTTCCTTATTTGGAAGTTACTGTCAAAGACATTCCTTGGGGGGGAGGGGGTGAAAAGAAAAAGAAGTCTTTACTGATAGCATGGCTGAGACCAGCATCCACTTTTTTTAAAGAAAAGTTTTACAGACAGTA